CCAAATCTAATTTTAAATGGGGGGTGTAGGAGTATCTCAAAAACTTATAATAATGGACGGGTCGAACAAGACGGTGCAGCACGTACTCGTCTATCTTGCATTCCTGATAGTGCAAGTGATGAAGATAATATATGAAAGCATCTCCATTCAAAATTCTAATCGCAGAAAATTTCATTAATTGATACCCTTTTTCGATTCTATAAGCTATAACGCATCTTTGAAAGCTTTTCTGTGTTATAGGTAAGCTGGGAATTCTTGATATGTTTATATATTTGATGATTTAATTCTGATGTTCTCCTAAGTTGACGTTTTTTGCTTCATTTTTTGTATTTTGGCAAGTGTTTTCTGTGATGTAAAAAGATACCGTTCTAGGTATTATGTATGACAACTTGTCCGTTATAACAGACAGCTATTCAGAGGAACTTCACCTCATATTTATGATATTTTTACATGGACATATGGATCCTGCACTGAGTTGGCTAGTTTTCATAATACTTCCCAAAAGTGAGAGTAAGTCTAGATAAAGACGTGAACTCGTTGGAAGTGTCGGAATGACGCTTGCTGAGTCAAATTTTCTATGTAGATTCATATGTGTGTATTTTTAAATGGTTGGTTATTCTCGTACACCGTAGTTAACTACTAAAATAGTGTCGCGGATTGTACGTTTATTTCGATATGTCCGATTTATTTATCATCCATTCTGAAAATTTTAACGTCATTACTGACAAGGAAAAAACTAAAATCCTTGGTTACAAAATGGGTTTTATTCTTTTGCATCGTTCTGTTGATTGCAAAGGGACAAATAATGGAGAGATGTTTTGGATTCTGTATACATTTATTTTCGGAAGCAATTTTTGATGGAGAAACGAAGACTGCAGCTACTTGGTTAATAAACTGGAAACTAAGTTTTAATTTCTTAAACTGTTCTACTGTTATTCAGATCGACCATAGCACTGTAATAATATTTCAGGGATTATATGAGACAAAGGAGATAATAATAAAAGAGAAAGAGTTAGTTCCTTCTTGTAACATAATTGTTTTGTATGGTTCGAGCGTTATTAACATCAATTAGATGGTTGATATCGGCTTCGAGATAGATAGTTCTCGCTCAACTGAATTGTTTTCGACCGAGATCTCTCTGGATCTCCTTTCAAACACATCCTTATGCTAGTATTCCACGAAAACTACAACCAATGTAGAAATGATTGAGACTGAAGGGAAGTAATGAACAACATTGTCAGCGCGGAATGCAATTGTCATAAGGGTCTTGTCCTGTTAACTTCTACTTCTCTGACATGAGCTAACAACTTACTCCGCTAGTTCGTTGCATACAGTTCTAATTTAGTTGCAGCAATGTTATACTTAACTACGGAAACGAAAATGCATATATGCTGTGCCGCACGTTCCCCCTTCAAAAAAAAAATCATTATAGCTTTACAATTTTCTGCGAGTTTATTGGCGTTAAATTGAAGCTCAATGAACATATAAAATCTTTCCCTTTGCTAGTTAATACGCATTCAACGTATATTAAATCATATCTACTAATATGTTGGGCGCTGTTACGTCTACTTATCCCGTTTGTCTACAATCTCATGGCGTGAATTAGATTTTTCACCTTTACATTCGCTCATCAGATATATCTACGGACTAAAACGCTTCAGTCATTTCCAAAGAATATTGCAATTCGCACATATATGGTCCAGTAATCAGGTTCGACAAGCTGAACAAATTAATGGTCCTTACCTGACGTAAGATGGCGATGTTTTTGGAACTTGATTACATCGGTTTCTGAGAGCAATGATACCTTTCTCTAACTTCTCAAGAATGATAAAACCTCTTAGCACATGGAGCAAATGTGATAGTCCTAACCAAAGAAGATTGGATTGCAACCGCATAACGAAGTAGAGTCAGACATGACCGACATGACCTCACATTATGCATGAACAGCGGGCTAGTCCTAACATTCGGAAAAACACTAGCATAGGATTTTATTATTTACTTTGAGCTCTTTGAAAAATCTGACTGAGCAGGTTAGAGAAACACATTTAGATAATTACAGTTATTGGTTTGCTCAGTAGTTACCGTATCATTCTGGAAATTTCCCTTCACCTTATAATCATTCTTTGTGATGAAGACGTGTAATATGAAGAATTTTCTTGTAATCTGCATATATCAATAGTACTGAGTATCTACGTGATATTTATTCCAATATTCCACCGAGGCTTGCTGTAATTTTTTCCTCCAGTTTTCCTGAACAATGGGCATAATGAGCGATGCCGTAACAATCTAAAATGCCTTTTTACTACTGCTCGACCATAAATTACTTTTTTTCCTAGTATTGAAAATAAGTTGTCTTCAGATTCTCAAGAGCGACATTGTGCTCATAGTTTTCGAAACTTGAATAAAGCCGACTTGCATGTAGTTTTTTCCAAAAAATGTGAAGCTTATTTTCAAGAAATTTGACATTTTATAGCAAGGTTATGGAAATGGATGGTGATGGTGTTGTCAAAATTAATGAGGATGGACAGACAATTGACGAACTTATGAGTGGTCACGTTGGGTTAACATACAAGTACTCGTCTTTCTTTTTCTGCTTTTCAATTTTTTCAAGCTAATTCAATTTTGTTATGGTAACTAAATTTAAGTAAGATGAATGAATACAAGGGAAATTATTGAATAGTCAGGTGAAAGTAAACATTTTGGAATGAAATGTGTCTACTTATAGCATGATTGTTTCAGCGATTTCAATATATTGCCGGGTTATATCAGTTTTGACGTTTCTTCCGTTGATTTAACAACTCATTTAACACGGAGTATTACGCTTAAAACACCACTGGTATCATCACCAATGGATACAGTAACTGAATCCGATATGGCAATTGCTATGGCTGTCAGTTACCATTTAGATTATTGATAATTGATATATGTTAACTCAATGTAACCTAAATTATGTATATATGATGACGGTGACTCACTTGTACAACATTACATCGTCCTTCTGAAAAAAACACTAGCTCATAAAACATTTATAGATTGTTTGTCGATTAGGCTGGCTTGGTAGATTTATTTGACAAGTAATAATAATAGGATAAATGTGGCACAACGAGATCATCTAATTAGCAGATGACTTTAGAGGAATGTTGTATCATATGTAATCTCATAATGTAAAAGAGCCAGCTGCAGGTATTGGATCATCTGTAAATACTTCAGGTGTCGTTGGCGTAAATGGCATGCATTAGTCGATTAGGTGGCGAGAGCTATCTTTTCAATTTCAGTATGTCAAGGCAGTATTAAGGATCTTTTTTTTTCAGTTACATGGTGGTATTGGTATAATTCATGCCAATTTCGCTTCTTTGGAAGAGCAGGTTGAAGAAGTTATCAAAGTGAAGGTGAAGATTTGCTCAAGTATTTTTTTTTTCTCCGCAAATTGTGATGATTAAATGCAATGTTTCAATGTTTCAGTAGTTCACTTCGGTAAGAAGACCCACCTAGAAGTATTGACATGACAAGACATTTTTAGGAGTGACCAGTGTTTCTTTGTCTTGCTTATGGTATTGTTTGGTATAATCAGGGAACGATAAAAAATGAAAGAATTGAAACAATGTGTGCTCTTACCATTTGGTTAAATTTTGCAGCGTTACAAACAAGGATTCATAACACACCCTCATTGTATCAAAGAAACCGACACCGTATTAGATTTGATGAGGATAAAGTTAAAATACGGTTTCACGGGAACGCCAGTTACATCAACAGGCCAGGTCGGGGGCCAGTTGCTAGGTATGTCTTCTTTTCGGAAGATTGGGCCAGTTGCCAAATGTCTTTTTTTGGGAGATTTTTCATTACCTGATTTCTGTGATCATTTCCAAAAACGAATCAGCTGAAAATTAATGATAACTAGGAATTGTGTTTTTTAGTTTTCTAAAGTCATTGGTTTATAGATTTTATGCTGCGCTTCAAATATTATATACTTGACTTTAAATCTTATTTGAATTATAGGTCTAGTAACTTCACGTGATGTAGACTTTATTGATGAGGACAGATATCCGACAACGAAAATAAGCGAAGTAATGGTTCCTCTCCACCGGCTCATAACAGGCAGTGAAGATCTGACTTTAGAACATGCCTACAAAATTTTAGAAGATGAGAAGAAAGGTAAGTAATTATTTATTGCTTTTGATTGAAGCAGTGTGTTTATTGAATGTTTGATAATGTTTCCGTTGCTTTAGATGATGAGTGAAGCAGTATTTGCGTCTTACGACCTAATGTCGTTGCGTAGCGCTAATTTGTTCTTCATTGGATATCTTTGCAGGAAAATTACCTATTGTTAATAACAAAAACGAATTGGTATCCTTAATAGCTCGTACTGACCTAAAGAAAGCTCGAGATTTTCCCTGGAGTTCATATGATTCGAAAGGACAGTTGAGAGTAGGTGCAGCTATAAATACCCGAGAATCTGCAAAGGAAGCGGTAAAAAAGTTGGCTGCAGCTGGTGCTGATGTTCTTGTCATTGTAAGTGAAAATTTTATCTTAACTTCGCTCACCACTTTTCCCTCTAAATCTTCATGCGTGAGGTCATTAATATAATAGGACTCGTGTTCAGGAGGGTGTAATTGCGTATGTGTAGAGGCGATATAACATGGACAAGACGTTAAATGTTTTACCTAAATTTGAGAAAACAGTTTTCTGATATTATATCACCATTCATTTTCTTCAGTACAGACAGTTTATTCCACAGTGCAGGCATATTTCTGTTGAATTGTAAATTGATTCAGAAAGTTTATTTTTTTTTTATTTTGAACAATTAAATAATATTAATCATTTTTAAGCTCTTGAGAAGTGCCAAGACATAAAGAAGTTAAGATGTCGGTGGAAAATGTTAATAAGAAAAAAAGGTGTTGTTGGAAGCTTTTCCTCTTGCACTGATGATATTTCATTCGTATTTCAGTTTTTTTTTTTTTTTTGTAAAATGTAAGAAAATAGAATAAATAGGAAAACATACGTATGGCGATTAGAAGTTGTTTTTGAATAGTTCGGTTGTTATTCACTTGCACTAAAGTGATTTCTAAACATTTTCTAAAGAATATTTTGTTTGGATACTAGACCTTTGCATTACTCTGCGAATGTCACAACATTTACAGGACTCTTCACAAGGTGCTAGCATGTATCAAGTGAATCTTTTAAAATGGATAAAGAGTAATTATCCAGAAACGCCACAGATAATTGCGGGCAATGGCAAGTTACGTTATGTTGTCTTTTTTTGCCTTTTTTGTTTCTGGAATATGCCTGAATCACCGGATTGAATGAATCGGTATTTTTCCCCTATCACTGAATTTTGTACGGTATGCCTAGTAAACCTCTTTCATATGTGATTTTTGGGCAATGCAGTATCATGTTCCGATCGCTGATTGGATATACTCTTTTAATACAGGTTCAAATAGTGTGATATGTTGCTTGTGTTATGTGCAAGGTGTATATATTTTGAAATATTATAATGTAGTATTTCCTTATTCAAATCTAACTCTTCCATAAATAGGAGTGATATAAGTTCTGATATTGGAGATAATGCATTCATTGGTTAGCGTATTTTTTTCTAAACATTTTCTTATTTTCAGTTGTAACACAAAAGCAAGCAGAAAATTTGATTAATGCTGGGGCGGATGCCATTCGCATTGGTATGGGCAGTGGTTCAATTTGTATTACTCAAGAAGGTATGTACATTTTTCATTTAATTTTATAAAGATATAATCTCTGCTGTTATATGTGCATCTCAGAAACAGTACCATCATCGGTTTAGGAGATTTTTACTTTTATCTTGTGTCGGTGGTGTGCTTACATAAAACGAACAGTAATATTTTCAGTCTGTATGTTTTTCAGTTACTGCAGTTGGACGAGCCCAAGGCACAGCAGTGTATCAAGTTGCAAGGTACGCCAAGACTCGTGGGATTCCCGTCATTGCTGATGGCGGAATAAGAGATATTGGTTATATCACGAAGGTAATATTGTGATAGATTTATTGGTCTTAGTTGTTCCGTGTAAATTTTGTAATTTGAAATTCCCATTGAAGAAATTCAGGCGTTGGCACTTGGCGCATCGACAGTGATGATGGGTGGTCTTTTAGCAGGCACAACAGAAGCGCCCGGCGAATATTTCTGGGGTCCAAGCGGTGTACGTCTTAAGAATTATCGTGGAATGGGTTCATTGGATGCTATGGAAGCAAATGTCAGTAGTCAAGATAGATATTTTAGCAGGTAATTTTTTTTCAGAAATATCGTTGTAGTTTACAGTCTGAGCGGTATTGCTATTAAAAGATAATATGTCTTTTTTTTAGAGCAGAATTCATGTAATTAAATATCCGTTCTACATCAGACATAAATATATTCTTATTAAAACGAATTTGTTTTAAGTAGGTCGGATGCGATCAAGGTTGCTCAAGGGGTATCTGCTACAATGAGAGATAGAGGAAGTGTTCATAAATTCGTTCCATATTTAGTACGTGGGATTCAGCACGGTTTTCAAGATATCGGTGTCAAAAATTTAGACGAACTCAGGTCTTTTTTTTCTCATCAAATTGAATTTTTCTTATTCTTCTACCACCTATGTTTTTCGCTGTAATAATGTCATTTAATGTCTTTATGCATCTTTGTACTTTGTTCCGTTGTTGTAGGACACTATTGGATTATGCGAAAAGTAAAATAGTGCTATTCCAGGAGTGGTATTGCTCGTGGTGAAGTCAGATTTGAGCGTCGCTCATCGAATGCGCAAGTTGAAGGAGGAGTGCATTCCTTGCACTCGTAAGCTTACCCGATTTCTTCATAACAAATCATGTTGTTAAAGATAACCTTTTATTGCATGAAAAAATCATACTTAGAGAAAAATCATACTTCATGAAAAAATCATACTTAGAGAAAAATTATGCAGCTGTTTTCAGTTATGATAAACGCCCTTATTGAATAAGGAGAAGTCTGCCGGATAACCCGATTTACTACAGGTCTAAAGTGCTGTTGTGGTAAATTTGTTGAATTTTTTCTCCATTTTTCTTTATAGGACAGATTTGGTAAGAGTTGTAATTTGCCTTTTAATGGTTGTTGGTCTTATAATTTTTCTGAGAGGTTCTGAGTTGTGAAATAACGTATTGGTAAAAGCAGCGCTTTTAGATGAAGTTTATTCGTTTGTTTACAGTCTTATCACCTGCTGGTACTTTCTCAGCGATTTTGTTCCACTTAATATAGACTTATTTGTTTTGATTGTGCTTCTTTTCTCTTCTACCTTCCATTCTTTGCAGTAGCTAAGGTCTTTATTCTTGTCGGAATTGGCTTTCTTCCAGTATTTACCAAATTTGATAATAATTTTGGATAATGTTTTGTTGCTCATATTGTTATATTCGTGTATTGTCCACATGTGTTATTAATGTGCATTCCATTTAAGATTACCGTATGTTTTGTGACAAAAATCGATCATTATATCTCTTGAAGTACGATTATTGAGTAGAATCAGCAGTTCTATATACCGTAAGAGAGTGAAAATACGTATCATTGCCCCATGAACAGTAGGCAGGGCAAATCATCAATAACTCATGCGGAGAGGCTGGAATACTCAGTCGTAAAATGTTTATAATGCTGGAAATGCTTACTGCTATGTTTGCACAGTAAACTTTTAAGGTATTTTTGAATTTTCATTTTATTAGGTCCTTGCTTCGTACTGATTTCAGTTCTTAGGAATTGTGAAAAGATTCAAATGATGTGCGGAAGCGGAGTATATCGGTATTTGTTGTGGGCATCCTATGATGGTGCTCGTTTTTTGTCCATTACTAATGGAAGCAGCAATTATAATGTGCTTAGTTTTCTGAAAGCACTTGTTCGGGAAACTTTTCCAGATATTGCAAACCAGTTAAAAATGTCGCCATCAAGCAGGTTTGTCGTTTATCAATACTTCACACAAATACAGAGAATAGGTGTTGCGAATACAGTTCAGTGATCCTGAAACGCCGGGGGACTCTGAACTATCTTTTTGCGAAGTTGCTCATTCTGGACATCACCAGTTCAGAACTGATGCGGGAGTACATGCAATACGGAATGCTTTTATCATGCAAATTCCCATCGGAAATGCGGATGAAGGCAAAAGTAATCTACTCGATGACTGGAATCACAAAGCTAATGAAAGCATTGGTGCATCATTACGTATTTTGGATTTTCATACCGTCTCAAAAGGTTTCTGTTCCAGGAAAAATGTTTCATACAGGTATATCTGCTTTCTGTTTCACAGTAAAACTATTTTTCACTCTACCGAGTTTCACTTATTTTCGGAGAAAATAACGGTAGAAAATAAGGTAAAAAAGTAGAAAATAAGCTAAACTAGGTGAAAAAAAAATTTTCTTGGATAATCTTATTTGCACTGTCTTTTGAAGTTTAAACAGTGGATATATTGGGAAGTTATTAAATAATGTTTTAAAGTTTAAATACTGGGTACATACTGCTCATTCCTGAACTTCGTAGTGAACATGTGGCATTTCTTTCCTTCCCGAAGTTTTGTAGGAAATATAAATATCGATTAGCCATAGCAAAAAGCGAAGAACAATGGTTGAAAAATATAGAACAACCGTTGTTGTGGCAATTTGCCGAAAGGCCATATATATGGTTTTTGCCGAATGGTTTTGATATTCGGAAGGCTGCAGATGCGTGTTCATTATTTCAAGTGAATTTTTGTTCTTTTTTATTTAAGTTTTAAGCTACATGGTGTTCATTGCAGTACATCTTCACACTTTCTGTTCTAAACTCCGAGAAAGTGCTTTCTTTTCATGGCACTCATAATATGGCCTCGTTCATGAAATATCCACGGCGTAATCGGTTAAGGACTGATATTTGCACTGCGACAATGAGGCATATGTTACACGTTGGCATTTCTGGAGGTAAGTGTAATGCTAATCTTTTTATTCACTGAATGATTATTGCTACCGATTTGGCAATAAAAATTGCAAAAAAGCGATGTGTTGCAATCAGTTATCGTGCGTGCAAAATAACCATGGCTCAAACATTAAGATCTTGGTAATATGTTCATTCTGAAAAATTATTCTAATGCTTGATACAATACGCAGTTAATTCTTTCTATATCTCTAAAACATTTCGAAGTTATCTATTCGCACCACTCACTAACACCATATCGGCTTAATCTTGAAAGTTTCTTGAAATCCTAATAGTTTCCTAAAATCGGGATGATTGAGCTTTGCAGGGAGGAGTCGTTTTGGGAATGCTGATGGTTTCAGTTTAATCGATATTAATGTTATTTCAAGATCGTTTTTGCGTTCACAGGTAAGTTATGTTTTTTACATGTCTTTCCACTAAACGGTTTTTTCTGTGCTTGTGTGCATAATATTTATATGTGTCACAATGATTGGAATTAGAGGGTTCATGATTAAGATGGGAGAAGGAAGATATAAGGAATTCAGCTACTTGAGGCGTATGTTCTGTAGAACAAGAATCTAGACTAAAGTGAAGAAAACTTGGTGAAGTGAATAGTGAACTTCATTAGTTGTGAAATTTATGTATGTAACCAAAAGTGACCCATTCTAGATAAAATGCTATTGTCCAGATTACGAATTGGAGAACTGCCTAATTGTTTAAGTAACGGCCTCTTAATTTGCAATATTTTCATATGATAGTAAGGTATCGATATTACTTTCAGGTAAGACATATGGTACGCACCATTGTCGAGCATGCTTACGGACGTCTGCAGCGGGAACGTTTGATATGGCTCTTAAACAACCCAAATCCTGAAAACTTCCATCATTTCGGGATGGTAACAGCTCCACCCCAAGGATTATTCTTAGAAGATGTTGTGTATGACGAACGAATGTTTATTAATCCTGTACCGTACCATTATCATAACTGGGACGATGCAATGGATGAAATGCTTTTTGATGAAGCGTTTTGATAAATGTGAAACATGTCACATGTAGGATAAAGCAAACAGAATTTTTATCTGTTTTTATCAATAAGTTTCTATTTAATTGCACTGGAGTTCGTGCTTCCATTAATGAACACTTATTAGACTTTATTCATATCATTACCACTGATGGGGTATATGAGACAAACCATTCTTTCCCGAGACATCAGAAATACTTTAATGAGTGGCCACCTTTCCTGTAGAAAACTCAGATTCTGAAATGCAACCACTTTTCGTCCGTTCAAATTCCTTAAAATAATTTGAGTATGAAAGTCTTACGCAATGACGAAGGGAGCTGGATATGTCAAGAAGGCAGTTGCATGTGTAGGCGAAAGTAGAGGCCTATCACAATCATGGTCGTACTTAGCAGGACGCTTTCATAGCTATATTATCGCTAATTTGTTTCGGGGAGGCCCGGCATTATTTCTTATCACCACGACACCGCTAGGAACGTGTTGCACTGGTTGACGGCAAATTCCGAGTCGACCGATTCTGCCATTCGCTAAAATCGTTTGCGGCTACCTCTTATATTGGGATAGGTGATGCATTATTCTGCTTCCTTTTATTGCTAGACTGCAAATTTCAACTGAGAGCATGTTAACTACTGGTGCGGACCAATCTCTCTGTACTGCAAATAGATGTATTCCGTTCGTAGTTTACACTTTTACATGGCTATAAATTGCACATTACCCGGTTTACATTGGTTACAACCTTTATGGATACCCCGAAGTCAGATGACTGTTTCAGGATAATGTGTCCTTCTAGTGAGCTTTCAGTTTACTGCCTGTTGTAAATATCGTGAAAAAAACCCTCCTCATTACCCTGCATACCGGCTGTTTAGTCGTTCCTCTTGTCGAACTTCATCATTCGGTACAGCTTCTTGCGACGAAATCCACAGATGTTTTCCTAATTGTATTCAGACATCACATAACTATTACCACTCTTCAACTACAGTTGAAAGCAATTCGCAATGCAATGTCCTCTACGCGTCTGCAGAACGGTTATATCATTAATATCATAAAGGAGGGATCAAACCCGTCATACCGCGGAGATTTGACTATCTATGTCTGTGTGAAAGTGGGTATGAATGTGGGTGTAGGCAGGGATGTGTGTGTATGTATATGCGTGTGTATATGTGTATGTGTGTATGTATGCGTACGCATCATCCAAAATGTCAAGTGCAACCGGACCCTATTGCGATCTTTGCTGCGCAGCGGTCACTATCTGGAAGTAGTGTACCGTTGCAGAGAACTGCTGTTCTGCTATTCATTTCAACGGCAAGCTAATAGCTGTGTAGAGCTGGCGCCTTTGGAGTATAGCCAAATTTCCATCCCGACTAAACTTTCCCTAAATAAGTTGATGATGTCAACATACCTATCGTGCACTTCTCTAGCAGCGAAGATAACAGCCACTAAATGCATTATTCAAGCAGCGATTGTGGGAGATAGATTGAATGCTAGTAAGCTGCAAATGATCTTTTGAGTCATCATAAGAGGTCCCTGGTATACGGTAGCATAGAGACGGTTTCGCGTACGCGGTGCGTTGCGTATGGTTTTGATTGTGTTGTAGGATATGTGGGGTGTAAGTGCGGTCGAGTTCTTGGTTGTTGTTTGACGGTGTTTGTGGTTCCAGAGGAGGGTGCTGGCAGTATTGGTTTTGTTATTGCGTAAAGGCGTTGTACTGACAAATAATATGATACGTGATGAGAAGATACTACCCTCTCCTGATTGTCTTGTTGTGGACGCTTAAGTCACCCATAGTATTTATAAATTTATGAAAGGTGAAGTGTCTCTTTAGAAGGTAAAGTGAATGAGTGGGTGTGTAGTCGATCCTACGTTCTTAAGTTCGACAACCGTTAGTATAGCTCGTTTCCATGTAGATACGTGCTATGATGGAATATATGGTAAAGTTATTTCAGTTTTTGTTAAATTTGATTGTGTGTTTACATACCTGACCTACGGCACTTTATGAGCCCATCATTTTGTCTAATCGCCGACGTATTTGGCTTCAATGTTAGGATTTTGTTTCATTTAACTGTACATGGATGTGACTTTCAATGCTCCATAGGTTTTTGTTCGTTTTGTTTAAAAGTATATGCGTTACTTATGTGGTTACATAGTGCTAACGTGTGTATGGATATGGTGCTGTGGAAATAGCTTAGAGGTTTATTGGAATTTGATCACCATGGTTTTGTCATGGTTTTTCAATTGTCATGATTTTTTTACAATCTGTTTTTACGTCAAAATATAAAGAGGGGCATAAATGGAGTCAGGTAATGGGGGCAGTTCGAATAATAGGGGATAGTTGTATTGCTAGCTATGAGTCTGGATAAGTCTCCGAGATTTATAATATTTTTAGTAATGTTCCATCAGCAATTCCTAAAATTACTGTACTTATTATAATAGAAATAAAACTAAAAAGCTTACCAGAAAAAAAAATTATCAAAGAAAATGCAAAAAAATATAAGAAAATACAAAACAAATTAAAATAAGTAAAAGGATAGTCAGTAGGATAATTTACATTGTTTATTATTAGAAGGACATGATTTAGTACATTGCTTTCGAATTATTCCGCTTGATAGTCGGTGAGTGCATATGAGTACTTTTTGTTTACTGTGTACAGAACGCTTTCTTAAAGTAGTTGTGCTGAATTTATCACTTTTTGTTAGTCGACCGTGTATTCCTCAAGTTCTCTTCTTTTTATTTATTGCATTTTTCTGGATGCAGTTCCGGATGCTTTTGTTTTTCCCCTTTGTCGAAGAGATATGTTCATTGCTAATTAAAATCTACCCTCCATTGCTTATAATCGAAGAGGCAGACACTGGTCGTACTTTCTGTGGCACCATATGGTGTGTTTTCTGTTACATAGGTGCCATGTACCGACATGAGGGTGGTGATTCTTACGGCTTCTTTTTCTGTCTGTTCCGACATTAGAAGATTGAGTTTTTGAACAGGGTTAAGGTTTTTTTTTTCCTCTCTCCCTCTCTGGCAATTGGTGTGAGGATTGATTAAATGTGTGTGACAATAAATTCTAAGAGTGAATTGAGATTGCTTCTGCTTTGTCAGATACGCAGTTTGATGTAGTTGTTGTGCGACTTTCGACCTTAACTATGTAATGTTTAAAGTGAGATTTTCTTTGTAATGCTTTTGTGTTTACTACGTTTTCATATGTGTTTTCCTCATTTGCAATATACTTTGTTTAAAAATGTCATTTTTTTCAGGGTATTTTCTAGATAGTCTGTAACGACTAAGCTTTCGTAAATTTTGATTTATATAAGCCTTCTTTCTTTATCTAAATTCCTTATCCTGTATTCAAGTTTTGGTAATTGGATAACTTCTGTAAACAGGTTAGTTGTTTACAGTTAATACGTGTTATATGCTTAGTTTGATTCGGTGTCTGAGTTTTATTGTCCAGGAACTCGTTTTGTTGCTCACTCTGACTGTATGGCTAGTAGAGGAAACAAATATTTCTCTGAGGAAACAAATATCTCTTGTGTTAAAAAGAATGCAACAAATTTGTCGTTATAGAATCTTATGGATACTCAGGATAGCCATCAGGAAGAACAAACTCAGAATTCAGAAACTGTTAATGGTGGTACTGTTAGCGAAGGAGGTTTGAAAGATCTAGGCAAAGGCAACGAAGACAAGTATGCATTTATTTCTTTTCTCTTAGATCCGTTTTCTTTATGAATGAGTGCAATATTATACTATTAGAGGAGCATCATGTTTACCGTATTTGCAGGAAAATATTCGTTGGTGGAATAGCCTACGACGTTACAAATGAAGACCTATCGCAATATTTCTCGCAATATGGTGAGGTAGCACAGGCTCAAGTGAAGTATGATCGAAATACGGGTCGTTCTCGCGGCTTTGCATTTGTAGAATTCACAACCGGTGAGGCGTGTAGAGCTGCACTCGACGCAAGAGAACAATCGCTCAAAGGGAAAACCGTTGAAGTTAAGCCAGCAAAATCTCGAGAAAACAAGAAAGTGTTTGTTGGTGGTTTGCCTGCTGATCATCCAGGTTGATAACATTATCAAATATTCCATCAAAAATGACTGATTTTGTTCTAGTTTCCAAGTTCATAAGTAAACTTCATGTTGTTTAAAATTTTCCTTGTTTGATACGTTACTGGAATTTGGGGTTTGTAAGGCAGCGGATTTTTAAATTTCCAATAGGGTCATTAACTTTATCATATCATTGAGTAGGACGAAGCACATCTATCAAGCGGGGATGGTGTCAACCACCGCTTATTTAATAGGCATTTGTTACAGAAGAAGAACTGCGCGCCCACTTCGAACAATATGGAAAAGTGGAGGATATTGAATGGCCTTTCGATAAACAGACAAAAGCTCGAAGAAATTTCGCATTTATTGTGTTTGAAGAAGAAGAAGCAGCTGAACGAGCATCGGCTACGCCAAAGCAAATGTTTGGATCACGCGAGGTTACTTAACTGTATTAGTGATGTTTTAAGTTGCTTCTTCATGTTTTGTTTTTCCACCCGCGGATTTATAATATAATCAGTTTTTGCGCTGATGCTCTTATATTTATTTGCAGTGCGACGTCAAGAAGGCCGTCCCTCAAGGTAAGCGTTTCCCGGGTGGCCGTGGTGGTGCGGCAATGCGGGCTGGATATGGAGCTGGTCGAGCGGGTGTCATGAATGGTTGGTTCGGGCAAGCTGGGTGGGGTCAGATGGGAGCGTTCGGTGCATATGGCGGAGGTACTGGAACTGCAGGTGGTTGGGGTGATTGGTATGGTAATGCTGCTGCTGCTGGATATTATCAACAGGGACAGGCTGGGGGCTACTATGGTAGAGTTATATTTTCATTTTAATCTGATAGAACAAGACGGAAGAACATAAATTTTGTTTTCATGCATATTGTAAGTTTTGCGTCTTGGTTTTTCCCTTGCAATTCTCGAAAAACCATTTGTAATATTCTACAAAAACGTTATAATTTTTTATCACTCAACTGCGATGGTTTTAGGTGCCGGCGGTTATGATGCTTATTCCCAGGGAATGACCCAGCGTGGGGTAAGTCAGCAGCGCTATCCACAACAACAACAATACTGAGTATTCCACTAAAGCGGCGAGAGTTTTTGTATTTTCGTAATGGTCTTCTTTTTGTCGATGATTTCCAAAATTCATATCTTTGATCTATCGTTGATAAAAATTCTGTAACTTGGACATTGAGCACTAATCAACAGTTCTTCGCATTATAAAAGTTAACTATCTCTAAAATATCCCTCATAACGGTACCATCTTTCATTGGTTTTTTAAGAAATTGGAAGGAATGTATATCGCAGAATTATTAGTTTTTGCTTCAGTAAGCTAATTTGTGGTTGTAGCAGTTGTAATGCTCTAACTATATTCAATTTTATTTACTTTTCCTTCTGTTTCTTTTATAAGTTTTGTTGCTATCATCCTGGAGTATGATTTTGAATGAGATATGCCGCATAGTGTTTCACTTGACTTTGTGGTATATTTATTCATCCTTAAATCTATAGAATTTTCGAAAGTAAAATTTTCGGATTTTTCTACAATAATTCAGTCACTCTGTTTGAAATTTTCTGTTTCTCTGGAATTTTCAGAATAAGAAACGTACCAATAATTTTACCGTTTCAACAAACCACTTTGTTTACGTTGTGGGTCTTCCTCATATTTGTCTTCATTCATACACGTTACATTGAAATAATGATCTCAGCCATTTCACCAGTAGCTGTTGTGAACCTTTTGTTTTTTCAAGTTTTTCGCCAGGAATCTTACTTTCCTGTTGTGAAGTCTTGGCTGAGTTCATGTTTGTTCATGTGTTGGTCATTTTGTAAGTTCTTGAAGTGGTTGGTGTTGACCCACACATTTTATTGAAGTCGTTTAACTCGTTGAAACCAGTAAAACCCCTAGTCTTTACGATGATGATTTCCCTTATTCTTTTATAATAAGCATTTAGTTATGCCTTAACTTGAGATGTGAGAAGATATGATGTCCGTTTCATACTACGAAGTTTGCATATTTGAGATTTGTTTAGTGAATTTTAGCGGATAATATTCGCTTAACAATAGCTAGGCGTTAGTGTGTGAAAGCAACAGAAGTAAATGATTTCAGTTTGTTTCAGAAAGCTTCGAGTCTCTCGTATTACCTCTGAAATCCATCTTAACACTACAAAGCATTAATGTACGGCCGATTGTGCGTTGTACTAAAGTGTACCGTATCGTTGTGAATTTCTGCATCTTGTCTCTAAAAAACTTCGTTGTTTTACGCTATGATTAAATGCACACCCCAGCCAGCGATGCCTTCAACAATTCATAACATCTCTTTATTTATCAATCAGTTTATTATTTTTTGAGCAGTTAACTGGTCTCCTAATACTTCTGTTTCCCTCCTGTATATCAAAAGGAATATTTGTTTCTTGAAAATAAGATACTTGCATCTTTTTCCTCTAGTTTTTTGTTTTATATTTCGTCGATGACATCTTACATTTAGTTGCGTTGTATTTCTGAAATGATCGCACCCCTTTCTCTTAAGTGGTGTAAATGTGAAAGTCATAAGGAAAAAGTATCATTCCAATGTCGAAAGTTAGAATCCGTAATACAGTTGGAATTTAAAATCTCAATTTTAAGGAACGGTCAGTGTTTGGTCTGGTGATGTATGAGACCAGTAGCCGCAAGGAAGTGTG